GATCTCTAGATATTATTGCCTCTCATTAAAAAAAGATGAAAATCTGGTGTATGGTATCATCATCAGAGCGAGTGACTATCATCTCTATCAAAAGAATAAGAAAGAAAAAAATTACAAATATATTGTCTACATCTTGTAAACAGCTGGCCAATAAGAAAACCAAAATTCTGTTTACTCTCACACTATCTTCCTGGAAAATGAAGCTTCTCAGCAAAGAAAATGGGGAGAATTCCCATTTTGACAGGCCTGTGGGACAGTGTTCCATAGGCAAAGCATCTGTTGGCAGAAGAGAGGTCCGGTTCTAACATCCACTTCCGGTTAGCCATAAAATGGTTGCTGCCTCAGTTTTTTTATCTGTAACTTGGAAACTAGTCTAGTATATGAGCCACATGTGCATTATTTTAATGAGCTAAATATTGACATTGTATTACCATTAAAGCAGTTTAAAATATATAGTTTTAAAAGTACAAGTAACAGCCTGCTACAAAATGTCATCTTGAGCACTGAAAGATGGGGAAGCTAACATTTACAAGAGCCTTCATAAAAATAACACCTAGTCTGGGTGCGGTGGCTCACACCTGCACTCCTGTACTTTGGGAGGCCAAGGTAGATCACCTAAGGTCAGGAGTTTGAGACCACCCTGGCTAACATGGTGAAACCCCGTCTCTATGAAAAAAAAAAAAAAACAAAAATTAGCCAGGCGTGGTGGCAGGTGCCTGTAATTCCAGCTACTCAGGAGACTGAGGCAGGAGAATGGCTTGAACTCAGGAGGCAGAGGTTGCAGTGAGCTGAGATTAGTGCCATTGCACTCTAGTCTAGGTGAAAAGAGCAAACCTCCATTTCAAAAATAAAGAAAGAAATAAAAATAATACATCATGAAGGTATTGTTACTTATCAAAAGAAAAACAGAGAAATTCTTATCATGGCTTACAGCAGCCTTGAGAAGAGGCTGCATCTGTCTTTAGGCTCAGGGGATCCTCCCACCTCAGCTTCCCAAGTAGCTGGAACTACAGGCGCACACCACCAAACCTAGCTAATTTTTCTAATTTTTATAGAGACAAGGTCTCGCTGTGTTGCCCAGACTGGTGTCAAATTCCTGGGCTCAAGCGATCTACCCACCTTGGCCTCCCAAAGTGCTGAGATTACAGGTGTGAACCACTGCGCCCAGTTGCAGAGTGATTCTTTAAAATAGGTGTAATGGTACCTAGATGAGGCTCAAGGTGGTTAAGTATGTTTTCCAGCGTCAGAAACAGTGAATGAGGGAAGACATTCCAGAATATGTATTTTTTTTTTAAGTTAATTTATTGTGTAGTTATTTACTTTTAGAAACAGGGACTTGGTCTGTCACCCAGGCTGGAGTATAATGTCATGCTATCATAGCTCATTGCAACCTCAAACTCCTAGGTCCAAGCTATCCCCCTACCTTGGCCTCACAAAGTGCTGGGATTACAGCCACGAGCACTGTGCCCAGCTGGAACACATATTTTTGTTACTGGTCTATGCTGCTTCTGGTTCATCCCACAAGGGATGCCACTAACCCATCATCAAAACGACACATATTTTGTATGGTTTGTAGAAACAGTGATGGATCTGCTGTAACCGTATATATGATGAAAACGTATAAGAGTCGTGGCAAGGATAAGGTGGGCTGCCAGTTTGTGGATGTGAAATAGAGCAAAGGACCTGTCTGCCGAGGGGTCTCACTAATATTTCATTTGTTCCTCGTTCCTTCTGCTCCTGGACAATCACTACCAGTCACCACCAATGTTACCATTTATTGAATGTTCAGTGTATTCCAAGTAATTTACACAAATAATATAATTTCATTCTTGCAACATCGGATCTATGAGACAGATATGACCCACTTTACAGATGAAGAAACTGAGGTTTAGAAATTTTCAGTAACTTTTTGCAGGTCACTCAGCTACTGGAATTAGGATTCAATTTATGGTATGTTCATTTGCACATTTTGATACACCCCTTTGTGATTATTGCCAAATAACTTTTCACCATCCATAATTGTTTTCCTCTCTGAGGAGAGCCAAGTAAAGTCTTTAATTAAGGGCCTGGCCTCAAAGTTTTAATTTCTTTGTACCCTACCATTAACTAGCTGTATGATTGTGGATTTGTCTCTGACCCTGTTTCCTTGTCTAAACAACAGAAATAAATAGCAAGTATTCTCTCTAGCTAATTATTTTGTAAAACATACAGTTCTTCAAATGTGTGTGATATGAGGCTATAATTATTCTCTCTATACTCTGACAAAGCAAAGATCAATATAAACTCATTTTTCATTAAAATTTACCTGATATCAGTCATAGCAGCCTCTGCACATTGGAAAACATTTACTAAGAAGAGAGAGATTGTCTCATTAGCTTCTTTTTTTCTCCAGCTGAATTTGGTTTCACAAATGTGAAATAGTACCTATTTTTCAATCTTCCTTTAATCTTTCTTATTCACTGCCCATAACTGATCCAGAACCCTTTCACTGGGCAGTGAGAGAAGTGAGAGGTTAGGCAAGCTGTCAGGAATGTAGCAAAAAAGCTGTGAGGGAATTTATTAGGTCAGATGCTGTGATCTGTGGTGTGTGCACACTTATCATCGAATCCTCATCTGGAAGTTAATTGATCAACAGCTGTGATGGTGCTTGGAAAACAATGGTTACTGTCAGATACTGACAAACTGCAAAGTAACAGCTTGTGGGAATTAAGCATCATGTTTCTTTAAATTATTTAACAATTATCACAAATTCCCAATAATTACCATTCTGCTTCTGATCTAGAAAGGGAATTCAGGTAACCTACGCCTAGAAAACCATCCCTTTTCCAGTTTGAAAAGCAGGTTTCAATTTTGCAGCTTCTCAAATTTTATTTACTCCATAGTATTTGCTACTGGCAGAGAGGCAGCAAATTCCCCTTTACCTTTCCTAAAATTATTGGCCTTGCCTACTCTGCTTGTCACTGAAAATAATTTTCTTCACACCAAAAGGAAACCCTTGTTTCAGCGTCTACAGGACTGTCCATGTGAAAAGCCCTCATCAGGCTGTAATAGAGTCTTAACTAGAAGTTTGCATGAGCAACTCATCAGCAGTGTGTTAAAACCTTCTGCAACAATATGCTTTGCTGGTGCTGTGCTGCCGCTGCCTCTAGCGAGTTTATTAGGTAAACATAATGCCAGAAGAGTGGTTATGAGAACAAGAGGGAGAGAGAAAACAAGCACGATTTGGAATCAAAACAAAACTTGGCCAGGCATGGTGGCTCACGCCTGTAATCCCAGCACTTTGGGAGTCTGAGGCAGGTGGATCCCTTGAGGCCAGGAGTTCAAGACCAACCTGACTAACAAGGTGAAAGCCCGTCTCTACTAAAAATACAAAAATTAGCAGGGCATGGTGGCGCACACCTGTGATCCCAGTTACTTGGGAGGCAGTCATGAGAACTGCTTGAACCAAGGAGGTGGAGGTTGCAGTGGGCTGAGATCATACCACTGTACTCCAGCCTGGGCAACAGAGTGAGACTCCATCTCATAAAAGCAAAACAACACTTAAATTCAAAGGAAAGGCATTTTGTTTAAAAAAAAAAACTTTAAAATAATTAACAGATATTTTTGCTATAACTGTATTATTTGTAAATTATATAAATGGCAGGCCTGATCTATCTTAGAAAAAAATGCAAAATAGAGCAGAAGCCATCATACTAGAAAAGCGAGCTGTACAAGATTAACTTTAGCTTAAAATAAGGGCCACTGAACAGCAAAGTTATTCGTGCCAGTACAAGGCAAGGGCATGGAGGGTTTTAGTAGCTCGATTCTAAAGAACACTCAGGTCTGAAAAAATGACTAAAGATAAGACTTAAACATGAAAGATAAAAAGAAAATCAAGGAAAACCAAATAAAGTAAACAAGGATTGGGGAAAAAATGTAAACTTAACAAATCCAACCCCTAAGCCTAGAGAAAGAAACTGGCTGGTGACAAGTATCTCCTGCCATCTGGATCTACAAGTGGTTTTCACCCCTTCAGCCTTTCCCTGCCTCCCTTCCCCGAAGCATAGACACACACAGAGCCGGCGACGTTGTGGACTTTAATCCTATTTTGTTTGTTGTCTTTTACTAAATGTTTGTATTTTTTACCTTTTCACTTTGCCCCTCACTTTAGCCAAAAATACTGGCTCTACCATCACCTGAGCTTCCTCCCACCTTTTAGAGTCAGGGTGGGATCTGAATCTAAGACTTTCAGGTTTTCTCATCTCAGCTAAATCTTCCAGACATGCTTTTCTCCCAGGTTTTAAAACTTTACTGGTTCTATATGTCTGATTCTCCGGTATAATTTTTTTCGTGAATCCCAGGGATGTTTAAAGTCTTACCTATATATACATTTGTTCTATCATATTTAATTTGAAGTTAGTGGTCTTGATTATTTTTTTACTTTCCTATGAGCTCAAACATCAAATATAATGAATTCTATTTGTACACCAGATAGATAAGCAGAACAGATAAAAGATCCACAGAACCGGGGAGACTGAAGGCTTGTTAAGCAAAAACTCCAGTTAGAGATTCCACAAAAGAAGTGATATAGTACTGGATTCTGATCCTGAAGCCAGGAGGTACCAGCAGTTATTTATAGGAATTTCCATGTGCTCTAAGCTAGGATTTTAGACTTACAGAAATTCTTCATCCTAAGTTTAGGTTGAATCTTTTGAAGTCAACAGTCTTTCCCTTTCATAGTTTATAACTCCTTTTATAAATATGGATGGATTAATCATATTTGTTCTTAAAATGTGAGCCAATTGATATCGGGTTCATGTCAATTTATAAGGGTCGTCTGATGCAATATTTACTCTTTAAACTAATTTAGAAGAGTATAAAAATGTATGGTTCAGAAAAGGTGATAAATACGTAACACGAGACATAAATGCTAACAAGCTAAAGAGCTATCCTAAAGGAACGTGGCAAATTTAAACACTAAATTTTCTTTTCTTTTTTTTTTTTTGTTTCTTCTTTTTTAGAGACACGGTCTTATTCTGTCACCCAGGCTGAAGTGCAATGGTTTGATCCTAGCTCACCGCAGCCTGAAACTTCTGGGCTCAAGTGATCCTCCCAGCTCAGCCTCTCAAGTCTGGGATTACAGGCATGAGTCACTGTACCCAGGCTAAAATTTCTAACAGAAGAATTTAACAACACCAAAAGCTGCCAAAATAGTAATGGTAACATAGAACATGAATATTAAAGCATGACTCACATGTGTATTGTACCTATCACTTATTTAAAGTACATATAGCATCAAATACTTCAAAAGAAAATAGATACCCTAGAATTAAGACAGTAGAAACCCATATGGCTGGGCCAGACACTGTGGCACACACCTATAATCCCAATGCTCTGGGAGGCCAAGTGGATGGATTATTTGAGCTCAAGAGTTCAAGACAAGCCTGGCCAACATGGCGAAACCCTGTCACTACTAAAAATAAAAGGTAAAAAAAAAAAAAGAAAGAAAAAGAAAAAGGAAAGAAATAAACCCACATGGTTGGAGTAGTGAAATATTTGTCTTGAGCCTCCTGTTATCTCAGCATGATGATACACATCGGAGAACATCACTTCCCAAACAAAAGCTTAACTAAGACCTATCCAATAATAATTCCATTTTATAAAAATAGAACTATGGGTGTATACAAGTTTCAGATTGGTCAGAACTTTTGCCTAAACTGCTTTTGTTATATGCAGATAAGTATCATACATCAGGAATAAAGGCAAAATTAGAACTGCAGTGTGACAATCAAAAATATAATGGTAATGTCAACACTAAACATGTGAAATCATCTCTCTTGCCTTAAATTTATACCTAGTAATAAAAAATGTATATTTATCTTATATCAAATATGTGCAATTCATGATCTGGAAGCTCGAGTGGTAATTTTCACATGATGATTGACGTAGCCATACCATAGGGTCACAAGTTAACAACGAATTTTCCTTTACAAAAGATGAGGCCCAAATTCAGTGATTCATTAACTCCAATAAAAATCCAGACTCCAGTTTCTAATTTATTTTTATATTTAGCACATCCTACAGATACTCTCATAACATATGTTCTACCGGTAGGAAAATTGAGACGGAGGTAGGATAAAGGACTGGCTCCAACTGACATAACTTATAATGGCAGCAAGGATGGGGAATCAAATGAAAAATGCAACCTAGCCTCTGAGGCCCCCAGACTCAGTTTATAATGGCCCAACTCCTGAGAGAAAACTCCTCAGCATCAAATAAAGAAAAATATTTGAAATGTTTTAAAATTCACGTGAGTAGAAAGGAAGCAAAGCACACTGCCATGTGTGTACCTACGCAACTGTCTTGCATGTTCTGCTCATGTACCCCAAAACCTAAAATGCAATAAAAAATTTTAAAAATAAATAAATAAAAAATAAAATTCATGTGAGCTATTAGAAATCAAATGATACTGGATTATCATGTAATTTAAATGCTTGCATTGTGGTTTAGAAAATAAATTATTTATCAAGTGCCTATTAAATACTAAATAAATTACTTAGCGTTTCTCTTAGTCTTCATTGACTGAATATTACAGGTAGGGAAACAAGCGAGGTGAAGTAATTTGACTATTGCCCTGTGCTAGAACCATCATTTGAATCTATTCATGCTCTATAACTTCTTTTATAAAAGCAACGCTGAAAAGTTCTCTTCCGCAAGAATCTTTGATACGTATATACTTACAAACTCCTCTTATGGAAATAAATTAAAGAAACTCTATTCTATCTAAAAAAGAAGCATATTTTAGATTGATTGTTCTCTTCCAAGATTGAATTCCATTCTTTTGACAGATCATCTCATAAGTTTGGGTACTCACACTTAAGTCTCTCCTAAAGATTCACATGTAAATTGTTGTACTGTTTCTCAAACAGATCAGATGTGTGCAATAAATAAGCGCAAATACTTCCTTTCAAAACATAGCCATATTTACTGGACTATCTTATTTTTTCTCTCTCCATTTTACATACCATTCCTCAAATATATACTGAGCTCTTTGTAAGTTGCTTATGTAGTCCAGTATTTTTTAACATATTTTATGGGGACATTAAAATACTAATTTTAAATTAAGACATAGCCATGTCACATCTGGGTAAACAACAGTGAATCACTTAAAGGAGACGGCCACATCCATCGTCTTTACAATTGCTCTCTCTGTGGCTACGGTTAGTGCCTTGACTTCCTCTCTGCCTGCCTAAAGACACTTTTTCATTCCCTGTGAGTAAAAATTCAAGAAGTCCTCCCAGCTTTAAAGCAACCTGAGGCTACTCTACTGACAAGGAACCTCAAATTAAAGGCAAGTCTTCTGAGAAAGTTCGATTGTAAAATCACGGGAACAAGAGGCTGACCCAAAGAATCGGGCCCCTCTGGATAGCACCATCAAAGGCCCCCTCAGACAACACCCACCAGGACTCCCATCAAATGTACTGCCACCCTCTGAGAAGCTGTTTACCTGCTTCCATGTCTCCCTGGGGTTTGGGTGCTGCTGTGCAGTAACAGCAGTCCAAGAAGATGACATAGTTAAGAGCATTGAAGAACAGACCGACAACTCCAGCACCGAGAACCAGTAGTGGCTCCTCTGTCTTCTGGGGAGCAATGTACCTTTTGATGGCTTCAACCAGGATGCTGAACATCAGTGCCACTGCAAAAATGGTGTTCCCAAATGCTCCCACAACGTCCGCCCGCAGAAAGCCGTAAGTGCTCTTCTTGTGCTGTGTTATGTTGCTGACCCTTACACCGAAGAAACCTATGACCATGGACACAAAGTGGGAAAGGACGGCAAAAGCATCTGAGGCCAAGGAGAGGGAGTTACCAACGTAGGCGATCACCAGTTCCATCACAAAGAGGAGGATGCTAACGACACACATGAGGATTAAACGGAAGCTTCTTCCGGAGTATCGCCCCATGGCGGCTCCGTGTCCTGGCAGTTCCTCTCCCTTTCTTGGGAAGGCTGAGCTGCTAGGGGAGCAGCTGTAGATTCTGTGATTACAGCTCCTGGGTAGCTCTTCCCTTCAGCCCTCTGGCGCTTGTCATATTTGGAAATCACCTTTTATAGGTTGCTATAAAGCCATAAAACAGTTTAAAGGGCAATTAAGCAAGAGATGTCACGTGAGCTAGGATTTATGGAAATACAAGACACTGGCTTCAGATATAGACTTGAGAGACTTTTTTTGTTTGTGTGCATGTGTTTGTTTAATTACAGAAGTCAAGAGCTTCTGTGTCCTTGAATCATGTAGAAGCTCGTCAGTGGCTACGGCCCTTCCAGCGTCCATACTCCAAGTGTGCAGCAACGGCTCAGGTGAAGCAAGTCATTTACATCTTGTAATGTAAGAAACTAAGAAACCATGCAGACATTTGAAGGAGGATCTTCATGGGCAGAAGGAACGATGAGCATGGGAATTAAAGGAACACCAAAGAGGTCAGCAAGACTGGAGAGGAGCAACGGGGCAATGAGAAAGAGGTGATGAAGCCAGAGAGGTGATGGGGCAGGGGCAAATCAGTGAGGCCCTGACGTAAGAGAAGACTGAGCAGAAGAATGAGGAGGTCCTACATATGTTTTAAAGGAATCACTGGATGTGTTTGAGATTACAAGAAAGCAGAGAGACCAGTTAGGAGGCTACTGCAATAATCTAAATGAGATTGTGGTTTAGACTAAGTGGAAAGTGGAAACACCCAGGCAGGACCGGCTACGTAATTCATGGGTTCTACTGCAAGATGAAAAAGCAGGATCCCTTGTTCAAAAATTGTCAAGAACTTTTTATTTTTTTGAGACCAGTCATGCTCTATTGCCCAGTCTGAAGTGCAGTGGCACAATCTTAGCTCACTGCAACCTCCACCGCCCAGTTTCAAGTGATTTTTGTGGCTGAGCCTCCCAAGTAGCTGGGACTACAGGCATGAGCCACCATACCCACCTAATTTTTATATTTTTAGTATACATGGGGTTCTCCCATGTTGCCCAGGCTGGTCTGGAACTCCAGGCCTCAAGTGCCCGCCTCGGCCTCTCAAAGTGCTGGGACTATAGGTGTAAGCTACCATGCCTAGCCAATTATCAAGAACGTTTAAGCCAGGCTTGATGATGGTCATCTGTAACCCCAACATTCTGGGAGGCCAAAGTGGGAAGATCACTTGAGGCCTGGAGTTCAAGACCCTCCTAGGCAACATTGCAAGGCTCTGCATCTACAAAAATCTTTTCTTAATTAGCCAGACATGGTGGCATGTTCCCTGTTGTCCCAATTATTTGGGAGACAAGTATGAGGGAGGATTGCTTGAGCCCAAAAGTTTGAAGCTGCCGTGAGCTATGATTGTGCCACTGCAAACTCTACCCCTAAAAAACAAAAACACAGTTTTAAAATGGTGCAGCCCCGGAAACCACAAGGAGGAGGTTCAGTATTCTCTCCGGAGCGTGAAGTTGGCTCTTGATGTTGCTTCACTGCAACTGCTGTTTGCCATTGATGATTGTTCTTCTCTTCCTCTTAGAGAGTAAGAGGGAGAGGAGGCAGTCTGAGTGGTTTCTCTTTAAATAAATAATAAAATCGTGCAACCACTATGGAAAACAATACAGCAATTCTCTCAAACTTAAAAATAGAATTGCCATAGGATCCAGCAATTCCACTTCTGGGTATAAAAAATTGAAAAGAGGCCAGGCGTGGTGGCTCAAGCCTATAATCCCAGCACTTTGGGAGGCCGAGGCGGGTGGCTCGTCAAGAGATTGAGACCATCCTGGTCAACATGGTGAAACCCCATCTCTACTAAAAATACAAAAAATTAGCTGGGCACGGTGGTGCGTGCCTGTAATCCCAGCTACTCAGGAGGCTGAGGCAGGAGAATTGCCCGAACCCAGGAGGCGGAGGTTGTGGTGAGCTGAGATCACGCCATTGCACTCCAGCCTGGGTAACAAGAGCAAAACTCCGTCTCAAAAAAAAAAAAAAAAAAGAAAGAAAAATAGTAGTGGGAAAGAAGGATGAATGGAGAAATAGCGCATTTTTAGAACAGGAAAACTAGTCTGTATGATACTATCATGGTAGATACACACCATTATACCCTTGTCCAGACCCAAAGAAAGTACACCAAGAGTGTGCCCTAAAATATGGACTTAGGGTGATAATGGTCTGGCTGTGTAGGCTCGTTGATTACAACAAATGCATTACTGTGGTAGGGTGTGCAACGGGGGAGGTCGGGGCAGGAGGTCTATGGGAAATTTTTGTACCTTCCGACTCATTTTTGCTGTGCACATAAAACCGCTCTAAAAATAGAGAATGTTAATAAAAATAGGAGTACACAAATGGATAGGTAAAGGGATAGATGGGAAAAAGACAGTAACTAAACAATGGAGAAAATTTTCCCTGACCTAAGGAAATATTTGAGGCTGCAAGTTTTGAGAGTTCAGTAACTATTACATAGAATTTATGATAAAAAAGATGTGTACCTAGACACATCGTGGTTAAAGAAAAGCCTTACAAAACATCAAATATAAAAATTATTTACAAAGAAAAAGAAATTAGATTGCCATTGGATTTTCATCTGTTGCACTAGAAACTATAAAATAATGAAATATCCATTTTCCTGGGGGAAAAAAAGAGAATTGATAATCAGGGCTGTTACAGCCAGAACTCAATGGTTTTGCCACACCTATTGTTAAAACATTAAAATATTTTTGGCCGGGCATGATGGCTCATGCCTACAATCAGAGCGGATCACCTGAGGCCAGAAGTTCCAGAACAGCCTGACCAACATGGTGAAATCTCGTCTCTACTAAAAATACAAAAGTTAATTGGGCATGGTGGCACGCGCCTGGCCTGTAGTCCCAGCTACTCGGGAGGCTGAGGTGGGAGGATCGCTTGAACCTGGGAAGCAGAGGTTGCAGCGAGTTGAGGCTGTGCCACTGCACTGCAACCTGGGAGACAGTGAGACTCCGTCTCCAAAAAAAAGAAAAAAAAATTAAAGTATTTCTACACAGGCTATGCAATAGTTTTGTCCCTGATCATCTCCCCACCAGCCCTTTCTTTTTTTTTCTTTTCTAGGACCATCAGCCCTTTCTACTCCTCCCCTGTTCTACAGGATTCAGCAACTAAGGAGTTAATGCCTGGCACACCTTTCTTATTGATTGGCCAGTCTCTGGTTTAGTATTTAAACATCATGACTGCTTCAAAAATATCACCTGATGGGGAAATGAAAGTTATTAGATAATAAATCATTCATGTATCCCATCTGAAGAAAATGTTGGAGAAAGAACTCCAGTCAAATAAGAAAAAAATCAAAACAGAGATTTCAAGAGAGAAGAAAAGAGATGGAAACAATGATGAGAGATGAGCCTTGCAATATATACTAAATTTAAATAGATGATGATGGAGTGGGATTATCTAGGTCGGATTTCAAGTTTGAAGTAGAAAATATTTTCTGCAAGAGAAAATTTA